ATAGGTAATTCCAAGTACAAAGGAACAGTACGTTTTGATTTTGCTTAATTTCTTGAGAACAATTTACTCATTAATAATGTAACAAGTTGAAAAACTCTCTCTTTTTAATGGTTTTTTTTTTTTTAATTTTCTTTTCTAATTTTCAAATCTCTCTCTATATATATGTATATAATATTTTCTTACCCTTTAAAGGGAATTCCCTGTTTTCTTTTCTTTTTTTTCTGTATTTGATTTTCATTAACTTTGTTGAGTTGGTGAAAGATGAGTTTATTTTGTTGTAGTTAAGAATAAGACACATTTTTTGGGTGGCATTCTGATTTTTTTTTCAAGGAATTGATCTTCAATGGGAGAGGAAATAATGGAAATTTTGATATGATTTTTGCTTCCAATTATGTCTATTTAAGGTTTTTGTTTTGTCAATTAAAATGTATTGAAGAGAATCTGAAATTGTTATGTGCTTTGTATTCTTGTTTTTTCCAGCTCCATTGAGACTTGAGAGTGAGATATCGGGGTTAATTAGTTCAAATTCTTCGATATAATGTCTAATTTTCATTAGAATTTCAAATTCTTCGAGGGCAATCCTTCAAGAGTTCAAATTCCTCAACATGTAGTGTAAAGAGAAAAAAAACAATTAATTCAAATTTCTCGAGATGTAGTATACCGAGAGAAAAATGTCAATTTAATTTAATTTTTTCGATGTCTAGTTTCTTTTCTTGCCGCAAAATTCTCAACATAGTGTGAAGAGAGATGTCAATTCAATTTAAATTCTTCATTTTAGTAGTTCAAATTCCTCCACGTGTAATTAATTTTCTTCTTGCTAAATGATATAATTACACATATAATTAATTTCGTTCTTGTTTTTTAGATCTAAGTGTGTATTTTTTAACCTTCAGCTTCAAATTTTAAAGAGCGTCTTCCACGTCACATCTACAAACTCACAATAATTTGTCAAAGTACCATTAATTCTAATCATTTAGACAAGATTAATAAGAGATCAAAAGGAATAAAAGTACTTCCCAATGTAAAATTTAACTATTTAATGCCCCAACAAAAAAAGAGAATAATCTAAACAATATCCAATTTCATTATCATTATCCCACTTCAATAATCATACACATAAAGTTCTAAAAAGATTGCATTTAATAACTATAACATGCTTCAACCTCTGCTAACACAACCCATTAAATCCAATTAATTAAAACAAAAGTTAGTTATAAATTTAAATTATATCCCACATGATTTGTCAATTCAGACAATCTAATCACTAGGAGCCTCTTGCTAAGGAAACATCAGACAAGAACAAGCATCCATTGTATTTTTTATTTGTATTATTATTTTTCTTTTGTGTCCTTTCCTTTCTTAATATAAAACCTTGTCTTGTCAAAGCCCATATAATATATATTTCTTTTTTCTATTTTGAATGAGAAAAGAATAATTTGAACCATAGAGAAATTAAAAGAGGGCCCTAATAAATAGGCTTGCTTTTTTTTCAAGATGAAATGCCAATTTGAAAATTAGGATTTGCTTTTTTTTTCCTAAGTCGATCGTAAACCATTCACTAATGTATCTTTAAACGGGATAACAGGATCATACAAATCTTAAATTTTGAGCATAGAGAGATCCGTTGTTTTTATTTCGGTAAAATATTTTGTGCATGTCTTGTGAAATTTAATTAGATATATTGATTTTTGTCACACCATCATATCTAATAAGAAAGAATCTTCTATCTTTATTGTCTTTTTCTTTTAAAAATTTGCTGTATCATAAATAAAAAAAAGAGAGAAAATAATAAATAATAAAGGTCTCAAATAGCAAATTTAAATGTAAAACTTTGAAAAGATCTAACAAGCATTTAGAGAACTGTCACATCAAGAAGAAATTTAAAATTATAAGTTGTACTATAATTAAAATAAATAAATAAAATTATAAGTTCAAATCAAAATTTAAATTTTGGCTCAATTAATGACCGTTAATTTAATTCATGAATAAACACTAAAAACTCCGCCATACAAAATTCAAAATTCCCTGACTACTCAAACTTAAAAATATGACATATTATTAAATGAGAATCTAAATTTCCACCTAAAAATAAAACGATTTTTCGATACATAATTTATTAATTAATTCCAAAATCTCATCTTATCGAACCATATTTTCAACTTTGTTTGTTTTAATCATTTTACTTTCAAAACGTAAATTAATTTAGTCTATTTATTTTTATCTTTTTCAATAATAATTTTAACATATGACACTTCACTAAATATCTTGAAATATAAAAAATCATAAATTTTGTTTAATAATATATATTTTTTGTTTAGATATATATCAAATACCGCTAAACTATGTTCACTTTTTTTACTGTCAAATGATTTTTTATTTAGAATAAAATTTGTATTAATATTTTGTAAACAGGACGAAATTGATCACTCTTGAAAAATACAAAGATCAAAACAGACGTTTTGAAAGTACACCGACTAAAATAAAAAGAAAAAAATGTTGAAACCATAGAGATCAAAAAATTTACCAAAATTAAAAGTATGTAAATATATAAATAGAGAAAATGAAAAATGGTAGAGGAGAGAGAGAAAGTGAGCCGACAGGTAGAATCGTTGAGAAGAGAGAGAGAGAGAGTAGGGCATCTGCAAAAACTCTTTTCTTCTTTTGTGATCTCATCTCTCACACACCCCTCGTGCGGC